GAAACGCTTTCTTACCGTTTTTAACTGAGATGACTCTTCGATCTTCGTCTTGATACTAACTTGTCGGCCTAGCTTGCTCACTTGATTGTACCTTTGAATCAGATGTTGAACCAGTATACAATCCGTGGACTCACAATTAGATTCTGTTTGATTTGCGCGCGTGACATACGCAAATTTTCTATAACCATCAATACGGCTGTACAATTAAAATGTTTGCTGTTCAATATCTACTATATTTGATCAGTGAATAAAGATAAACTTAGCAAATAAATCGCATGAATATATACGGATATCAAAGATATATTTTTTCGAAATATCTTGATGGAAGAATATGAAGCTTCATGTGTTTAAGGTCTGAAAAGCAATCTATATACTAAAGGCGGAGAGTATTGTTTGTTAAGCTTGGCATCTTTCGTTSGAATTAAAATTAAAAGTAAATAGACAGTTGTTTTACCGTATAAAATTACYCCTCTTGTTTGCTGTGTGCTGCAGTGTTCGTGTTATTTTATTGAGCAGAAGGAAGCAATCTGGTAAAAACTYAGCAGGCTAGCTTGTTTCAGGAACGTTCATTTGGTGTGCCAAATGGGGATCGAGGGGGTAGGTGAGGATGAGAATGTAGAATGAGGACCCGTAATATTTTCCCTGTATTTCTTCTCCTCCATCCATCCATCCTTTTCCACTGACAAACTTAGATCCTCCGAGCCCCGTATCCCTTCATCGTTGCATAATCAATGAACGTTCCTCTACTTTACACGATGGTCACTTACTTCACGTACCTTAACTTTTATTTCAGCTTCTTCTTTATCGTCGTCTTTATCCCATACCTCACCACTTAACTGCAATACACTATGTAGTTTTACTGTTACTATTAATAATCTCACAAGCACACAAAAATAYAGTAAAAAAATATTGATAAAGAAATATTGATATTTTGTGGTAATATACTTCCCCACTTTACTGCAATACACTGAGTAGTTACAATATCAATAATCTCACAAGCCTACACATAAAATATACAGTAAAAAAATATTGAGAAATCCAGAATATTGACATTTGTGTTAAGAGAAGTTGTAATTAACGTCTACAATCAGTAACTCAAACGTTTCGTAGGACCACAAATTTTGAAAGAATTATTATATTAACTTCCATATTGATACTATCATCTGCCGCCACAAAGTTGATTTGCATATCATTTATAATAAAGTTTTGAAAGAAAAGTAATTTTTTTGAACCAAAGAAGTAGATATTTATATCCATCCTATGACCACAAATAACAGAATATTTAACTTCGTTGCAAAGAAACAGATCCAAAAAACGTTTTTAGAAGTTGTTAAGCCTCCACTAGTTACTCATTTATTTACTGATTTCTTATTTTTTCTTTCCTTGTTTTCTTTTGTTTACCTTTTCTTCTTCTTTCCTTTGGTATTTCTTTCTTCACTTTTATTCCTTCTGTTGAATTTAGTCTGAGTAATATCCGATATTGCTAAAAATCCACCC